CTTACAAACAAGCAAGAGCCCTAAACCTGGTAAGCTGAACAGATCGAGATTTGGGTTCGGAAGGCTGTACCCTGATGCCCTAAAGTCCTAAAGTCCTCTAACGCCCTAAAGTCCTCTGAAGCCCTAAAGTCCTCTAAAGCCCTAAAGCCTTACAACCCTAAACCTTAAAGCCCTGACCCCGAATTGGAGTCCTGCAGTCCTAAAGACCTGCAACCCTAAACCCTGAAGCCCTGAACTCCCTAAACCCGAATCAAAATCCGAAGGTCCTGAATCCTTACAAGCCTAATTAAACCCTGCCAAAGCCCCAACCCGAAATCCTACTAGAGCCCTAGATCCTAATTAGCCTAAACCCTAAACCCTAAAACCTAAATAGCCCAAACCCTAAACCCTGAGGCTGGGATGTGGACTTCACAAGCCGAACCAGCAGACGCTGCTTTTGCCCCACGCCGCGCCGTTGCTCCTGCGGGACATATGGGCTTCGGGGGCTTGGGGAGTCTAGGAGGGTTTAGAGTTTAGGGTGTAGGGTTTAGGGCGAGGGGTTTAGGGGCGGGTTTCGGGTACCGTTTAGGGGTTGGGGGGTTGTTTAAGGGTTACTTCTCAACATCTCCGTGAAAGCCTCTGGCCACTGAAGAATCTTCAGGCTCACTTTATGCCCTCAAAGCCTAAACCCTAAACCCTAAACCCTAAACCCTTGAGCCCCTAGACTGCAAGCCTCAAACCCTAAGCCTAGAAAGCTCTAAACCCCCCGCCGCAACCCCCTTTAAGAAAAGTACCAAAAAAACAACTAAGGGAGACACAAACACATAAACAAAACCACCCCTGAAGGCCTACATCTTTCGTCCCAAGCACTAAAGCCCTGTAATGACCCGACAGCCTAACCCTAAATCGTAAACCCTAAACCCTACTTTCCCTAAACCCTCAACCCCAAATCCTAAACTCTCAACCCCAAACCCGGTACCCCAAACCCTAAACCCTAAACCCTGAACCCTAAACCCTAAACCCTAAACCCTAAACCTCAAACAGCCCCAAACCTTCCAGGACCTCCCGCTCGACCGGCTTCCTGGCCTGGGTGGCGACTTCGGCTCCGCGATCAAGTCGCGCCTCTCGGTTGGTATAAGGGTTTAGGGGGTTTAGGGTTTAGGGTTTAGGGTTTAGGGTTTAGGGTTTAGGGTTTAGGGTTTGGGGCTTAGGGTTCAGGGTGGGTTGGTATAAGGGTTTCAGGCAGTTTTAGGGTTTTAGTGGTTTAGGGTTTAAGGTTTTAGCGGTTTTAGGGTTTTGGTTTTAGGGGTTTTAGGGTTTTAGGGGTTTAGGATTTAGGGTCTAAGGTTTTAGGGGTTTTCGGGGTTTAGGATTTTCGGGCTGGGGTTTAGGGTTTAGGGCTAGGGTTTAGGGTTTAGGGTTTTAGGGGTTCAGGATTTCAGGGTTTTCGGGTTTCAGGGTTTTAGGGGCTTAGTCAAATCAGGGAAGTTAGGGTTTAGGGTTTAGGGTTTAGGGTTTAGGGTTTAGGGTTTAGGGTTTAGGGAAATTGGGGGTTGGGGTTCAGAGTTTGGGGTTTTGGGGGTTTTGGGTTTTAGGGTTTAGGGTTTAGGATTTTTGAGTTGCAGAGTTTAGGGTTTTAGGGTATGAGGGGTTTTAGGGTGGTAGGTTTCAGGGTTTTAGGGTTCTAGAAGGGTTGGCCAGGAGGGCTTTCTCGGGTTTCAAGGCTTTAAGGCCTCATTATTTTGCTTAGGGTTTGGGGTTCAGGCTCAACAGACTCTTTTTTGAGTTTTTTTTTGTCCTAAACCCTAAACCCTAAACGAGAATACCTCGAGTTTTGGGGTCAGGGCAGGTAGGGATGTCAAGGGATGCCTACGACTCAGGATTTGGTCGGGGCACTCGGGGTCTTGAGGGTCTTCTGCTGGGGGTTAGGGTTTAGAGTTTAGGGTTTAGGGTTTAGGGTTTCGGGCTTAGATGATTTTGTAGGTTAGGAGTTCATGATTGCAGTGTGGTGTCGCGCAAGTTGGGAGAATCATGGCTTCTACAGGGTGCAGGGGGATTACGGCCTCAAGGCTTGACAGCATGTAGGGCTTTTGCGAGCTCTACACCCAGGTCCCCCTACATTTGGGCTTAGGGCTTCAGGTTCCCTAACCCTAAGTCCCAAACCCCAAACCCCAAACCCTAAAACCTAAACCCTAAACCCTAAACCCCAAACCCCCAACCCTAAACCCTAAACCCTAGACCCTAAACCCTAAGCCCTCCGGTTTGAAGCCCTCGTAGACTCTCCAGGCGTGCAGGTGGAGACTGTCGGCGAGCTGCTGGAGAAGCGCAGTGAAGTCATGATCCACTTTCCGGAGAGAGGTCCGGTTCTTTAAGGGGGTTTAGGGTTTAGGGTTTAGGGTTTAGGGTTTAGGGTTTGGGGTTTGGGGTTTGGGGTTTGGGGTTTGGGGTTTGGGGTTGAGCGTTTCAGGGTTTTGAGGCGTTAGTGGGTTCAGGGGATTTAAGGTGTCGAAGGCGTTTGAGGGTTCCGGGGTTTGAGTCAGTAAGGGATAACCCTAAACCCAAGGTGTTTGAGGTTTCTGAGTCGTAGCGCTAAACCCTAAACCCTATACCCGAAACCCTACACCCTAAACCCTATACCCGAACCCCAGTATGGTAAGCCCTTTGAAGCCCACCTTTGCCCCACGTGCCATGCATGGGTCGAGGGTTTTGGGTTTACAGGGTTTGTGGCTTGGGGTTTAAGGTTTGGGGTTTAGGGTTTAGGGTTTAGGGTTTGGGGTTTGGGGTTTGGGGTTTGGGGTTTGGGGTTTGGGGTTTGGGGTTTGGGGTTTGGGGTTTATGCTGGGCGCAGGCGAGTGGCTGCTGGCTCTCGCCTCTGGAAGCGACAAAGCTGCGGATCCGGTGAAGGCAATTGCCCCAAACCCCAAAACCCCAAACCCCAAACCCTAAACCCTAAACCCCAAAACCTAATCCCTGAACCCTGAACCCTGAACCCTAAACCCTGAACCCTGAACCCTAAACCCTAAACCCAGTAATCCTAAACCCTATACCCTAAACCCAAAACCCCATAAACCCTAAGCCCTAAGCCCAACGACTCGCTTCACACACTCGGGGACGGCTGTCGCCGTTGAGCTTGAACGTCGATTGAGCCTTAGGAGGGGCTTTGGTTTTGGCGTTTAGGGTAGTAGGTGGGGTGTAGGGCTTGAAGGTTTAGGGTATAGGGTTTAGGATTTGGGGTTTGGGGTTTAGCGTGTAGGGTTTGGGGGTCAGGGTGGGGTTCAGGTTCGCCTAGTTTTGGATTTAGGCTGTAGTCTTGAGGCGTGTCTGGTATGTCGGGGTTTAGCCTTTACACTCTGTCGGCGTTTAGGCGTTCAGGGATTGCAGGCTGTTTGTGTATTTCCTGCAGGACAGGCAGCTGGTCAAGAGCCTGTCGAATGGAAAGACGCTTGGATTGATCTTACACCCCACTAAACCCTAAATCTAAGCCCTAAACGCTGGGGTCTGAGGGTAAGCTTGCCGGATTTTGGGTTCAGGGTTTAGGGTTTAGGTGTTAGTGTTGTTGTTGGGCCGGGGGCGGGGGGGGTTGCAGATTGGGGACTTTCCGCGTGAACCCTTTCGGTTTCATTCTAACCTCAAACCCGGCACCCGCTCAATCGACCTCAGTTCAAAACATGGTACATATTCGGGGTTCTTATCCTGAACTAGCTTATTTTTAGAGGGTTCTTAAGGGAGGGGGGTTTGCAACACAGGGTTCCCCAATACTCCCTACTACGCCTGTTGGCTCCCTAAGCTTCGTTAAGGTTTGCTATGAACCCCCCTCCTTACGGACCCTATAATGAAATTGTAGTGTTGTGATCTCCGGGATGCTTCTACCCCTTTTTGTGGGTACAGCTTGAGGGGTGAGGTGAGGGCCCTATAAAATAAGCCCTTAACCCTCAACCACTAGCTTCCGACCACAAGACCAGGATTCGGTTTCCTCTACATGTTTGGGGTTCAGAGCTGAGTCACTGAGACTGATAGGGGTGGACTTGGCGTACAAACCTGGGGAAAAAACATCAGGACATTCTTCGGCAGCAAGCAGCTCAGGAGCGTTTCTGAGGTGGGCATGGAGTTGAGGGTTTAGGGTTTAGGGTTTAGGGTTTAGGGCTCAGGGTTTGGGGTTTCGGGTTTTTTCCTTCCCCCACCCTCCCCAGCTCTCTGGTTTGAGGGTAAACCCTGAGCTTAAAGCTTCAGGGCATTGGGGTTAGGTTATTCATTACATTCATGCCCTGCCTTTTAGTATGAATATTACTTTCTTCACTGTTCATCATGAATCCTTTGATCCTGAAGTTGAAGTGAACAATGAAAGGATAAAAGGTGAAGCAAAAGAGCGCGTTTAACTTCAGGATCAAAGGATTCATGATGAACAGTGAAGAGAGTAAGATTAATCTTAAAAGGGCAAGGCATGAATGTAACGAACAACGCGCGCTTTTAATGTGAAGATTATGAACGTAACATTGGTGTCGTTAAGCTGTATAGTAGTTCCCCAAACCCTAAACCCTAAACCCTAAACCCTAAACCCTAAACCCTAAACCCTAAACCCCAAGGGGCTTGAGGGAGTTTGAGCTCCGGGTTGAGGGCTTATGGTTTGGGGTTTTAGGTTTAGGAGCCCTGGGCTTGCCGTGTGTAGCATTCAACGGTTCCCTCTTGAGTTTAGGGTTTAGGGTTTAGGGTTCCTGGTTTGAGGACACTGGGAGGCCACGAAGCGTAACAGTTTCACCCGCCTGCTCTCTATGCGTCTTGCACAGAGCGGGCACGCTACATGGTACCTGAAGGCTCTAGTGTAGTTCCTTTTTGGGTTGCTTACAGGGGAATTTTGGTATCCTAGCCCAAAAAGGTACTGCATAAGAGCCCTTGGGTAGATCACATGAACCCCCTCACGCTTGCAGCTCCAGGGGGGTTCAAGGACAGACGCAAACATCTGCCACCTGCATCTCTGGTCACGGTCACAGCAGTGGCCAAAGCAGTCGCAGGGACCAGCGCCCATGGAAGTGGACCCCACGGACAAGGGAAAAGGAAAGAAAGGACAAGGCAACGGCAAGAGGGGAGGAAAAGATCGACATGAGTATCAGGACAAGGGTGGCTTTGGTGGTCACAAAGGGAAAGGTAAGGGCTCCCTTGGTTGGGGCAGAGTTCCCCAATCGCCACGACGAAGCATGTCCGAGAGGCTTCGCGTTTGGCGGGTGTCGGGTGAAGAGTTGGTTACCATGATTTGGCAAGAGGTGGAGGAGATGGCGGATGTTGGCGCACTGAAGCAACACTTGCAAAAGACATGCGGGTGGCCCAGGTCTATGCTAACACTTCTTCACGACGGCAAGCCCTTGAACGATGATGATGAGTTGAGAGTACCCATGGACATGCAGATAGTCTTACTGCCCTTTGCAGATGATTCCAGCACCTCTCAGCAGCAGCTTGCCTCCGCACTTGTCGACGCTGCCGGCGATGGCGAGTTGGAGATCATCAGCCAACTGCTCGATGCTGGCGCTGACAAGGATGGGCTGGACAAACATGGCCAGGGTCCCCTTCATGCAGCCTGCTTGGCATGCGATCTGGAAGTTGTGGCCTTGCTCTTGAACGCAGGGGCCGACATGGACCTGATGAATGGGGATGGCGAATCACCCCTCTGTGCGGCTTGTGTTGGAGGGAACGAGGGCATCGTGGAAAAGCTACTGCTGGCTGGAGCAAACCCGGATCTTGGCGAGCCACTACTGGCTGCACAGCAGGCTGGCAGCGACGCCCTCATGCAGTTGCTACTCGATCACGGTGCCGACGGCGCATGCTTACTCCTCTCAAGATCAGGCTCCTATGATTCAGGGCGTGAATTCGGCGGCTGGGATGACTCGGTCCCTCCCTCGCCGCCCTCGGTTCGCTCCTACGGGGTTCGCTCCTTCGGATCTGGCTCCAGCTTTTAGTGACATGGCAGATCATGCAGCTTGCCTGTGCAAGCAGTACATGAGCTTCATCCGGCCTAACTATGAACGACACACTGTGAAGACAGAACTGCTTCCGCCACATTTTCCTCGGCTGTTCTGAAAAGGCGCCCTCTTGGGTTCTTGAGGCACTTGGAGGTTCATGGATTGTTATAAGTAGGGTTATGAGTACCCTAGTTTTACCTAAAAAGTATAATTACCATACTTACAACCCTACTGTACTTAAAAACGACCATGAACCTCCAAGTATCCCTAATCCCTTAAACCCCAAGTAGGTTCCCAGCGATGACTCCCCGAACCGGCTTCTCCTCTGAGCTCCTCGCTGATCTCTTTACCCGCCTCCGAAGAGGACCACGGCTCCCTCTGCACATCACCATGAGCCCTAAACGGCCCTATCCTAGGGGTCGGAAGAATTCCTCATCATATTCCCTGATGACACCTTTGTAAGTATAGTATAATAACCCCAAAAGCCCTATTCTAATTATTCAGGCCCCTATATAGAACGGCCCGAAGCCCTCAACACTCATCACGTAGAATCCTTGTCATGCGTGCGTTTACTGCCTCATTCATGGTGCCCCTTCAGTAGTATTGTGTTAATGCAAACTTGTGTGCGATTACAATAATGATGTTAAAGTAGGGGCACGAATGAACGCAGTAAGTGCTTCGCTATTAATATTATTCCTGTCTCATTATAGTATATTATTAGGAATATCATAAAGGATGAAATGCATGGATTAAATTCTCTTTGTAATTCCATTATTAGTCACACATGTCTTTAATCTCATAGTATTATGAGTAAGAGAATGACATAAATACTAGTTTTGAAGTGATACAGGTCATTGTTCTCATTTAATAGGAGTTCGATTAGTTCAGCCTAAGCCCTATACCCTGAACCCTAGAAACCCCTAAGCCCAGCAACCCTGAAGCCCCAAACCCTAGACCCTAAGACCTATGCCCTAAACCCCAAACCTCCCACCTCGGATGGCGTAACCCTAAACCCTAAACCCTAAACCCTAAACCCTAAACCCTAAACCCTAAACCCTAAACCGCAGGTGGACCATTGGCTTGGCGAGCTGGCCGGCGAGCTTCATCTGAGGTGGGAGGTTTGCGGTTTAGGGTTTAGGGTTTAGAGTTTTAGAGTTTGGGTTTGGGGCTGAGGGTTTGGGTTTAGGGTTTGGGGTTTAGGGTTTGGGATGTAGGGTTTGGGATTTAGGGTTCGGGGTCTAGGGTTTGGGGTTTAGGGTTCGGGGTCTAGGGTTTGGGGTTTGCGGTTTAGGGTTTGGGGGTGTAGGGTTTAGGGTTTAGGGGTTTGGGGATTGGGGTTGTGTTCGAGGGTTGGAGGGTTCCAGGGTTCACTTGACAATACGATCCTTCCGGCCTTTCGCTTTGTCTGGCTGTCTGTGGAATGGAGCCAGAAGCCCACAAGGGTTTAGGGTTTAGGGTTTAGGGTTTAGGGTTTCGAATCGCTTACGCCTGTCGAGAAACCCAGGAGTTGGAGACTCGAGGATGCTGCACCAGGCTAGGCCTGCCAGAGATTTTTTGTTGGCCGGCTGTCCTTCCCGTGTGGAGCGACTCCGAATGGACATCCCAGAGACTCCGAGACCCCCTAAATAAAGGAGCATACCTTGACTCATTTTAGGGTTCCTCTGTTAATTTAAGGGATATTGTTTTTTTAAAGAACATACCTTCACTCATTTTAGGGTTCCTCTGTTAATTTAAGGGATATTGTTTTTTTTTTAAGGGGTTTTGGAGTCTCTGGAGGTGCCAGCGGCCTGTAGGGTTAAAAGACGGCCTGAAGGAGCTGCCCTGGTACCGGCTACGCCTGGAAGAGGGACCCAGCTGAGGTGGAACATGACAAGCAACTCAATGCCTCGGAAGCGAAGTTCATGGGGGCAGTCGGCAAGGTCCAGAAGTCGTCGTTGCCAGCCTCCTCTGTGAAGGGACACGACTATTTGCTTCAGCACCACCCCAAAAACACAATGTTCTTCCTCATTTGGGTCCATGTGTCTATGTGGTATCTGTACAGGAGCCTCAGGCCACAGGTTCATGCTTGCAGGTTCATGGTGCCTATTGACCCATCTACAACTGTGCTCATAGCTCAACTATAGCCACATAAGGCTACTTCTCGTGGGTAATTTGCGGGGCCAGGGTCTTCTCGTCCTATGTGTTCCTTTAAGGGATCTAGGTTTTAGGGTTGGCGGTTTCCTCTTCAACTTCAAAACCCTAACCCCGAAACCCTCGGCCCCCTAAACCCTAAACCCGAACCGTCTCTTGATCCGCAAGGTACGTCGACCAAGCGACTAGCCTGCACCAGCTCAAAGCCGTGGTATGTTAAGGGTTTTGGGCTTTGGACCCAGGCTTCTGGGCTTTGGGTTGGGAGTGTCTTCAGGGCTTAGTAGCTTAGTATTATGAGGTTCGTGTGGTTGCCCTCTTTCCTGAGTCCCTGGCCCTTGCCTTGCACGGATCGACTCCAGGGCTTGCAGCCCTCTCAAACACATCCCCGGGCTTACCGGGGTCCCCGGGCTTAGGGTTTAGGGTTTAGGGTTTAGGGTTTAGGGTTTAGGGTTTAGGGGTGCCCTAAACACTACAAATCCCACATCCCTAAGTCCCAAGAATCGAACTACCCAAGACCGTTTTACTAGTTCCAACAGACGCGAGGCTTCAAAACAGTATCGGCCCTGAAACTGAAACCCAGGTGAACAAGCACCAGCGCGCTCCCACCACCATCGGCGTCCACGTGACCACAGAGACCGGCCGCGGCAAGGCGTGAAAACACCCAAACCCTAAACCCCTAGGCGCGGTGCCCAAGGTTCGGGTCCGTGCTTAAGGGTTCTAAGTTTGGGGTTTGCCCTATTGTTCAGAGTTTGGGGGCTAGAATCCCTACGAGCCCAAAGTCTGAGATTCCGTAATTTACAACACCAGAGCTGCACAGAATAAGAGGCAAAGGAAATCGTATAACTTGCTGCTTCGTAGTATGGACGTGGAGGGACCCCCGACCGGGCACTACATACAATACAATACAAAGCAAATACAATACAATACATATATATATATATGTATATGTGGTGCCGCGTCATGTGTCAGTACACCCCCCCTTCCCCTGGTATCTCCACCCCAAATCCTATACCCTTATACCCTAAACCCTAAAACCCTACCCCCCCCCCCCCCCCCCCCCCCCCCCCAAAAAAAAAAAAAAAAAAAAAACTGCAACCCGAAACGATCCCTTAAATGCCCTAGGCAAAACCCACAAAGCCTTGAAAACCCTAATCCTACAACTCCAAAACCCGAAACCTTAAAACCCTACACCCAAGCCCTGATTCCCCCCTTCCCCCCCAACCTGCTTCTCAACAAATGCCTTGACCATTTCCCCACGTTGCGTTTGAAGATGTTCTGCAGTATCTTGACACGGTGGAAATCGCCCCACACCACGACCTTGCCTTCATGGTAAATAGCACGGACAGCGTCATCGAGTACACCCAGAACGCTAGGAAACACTTGAATGACAAGTTGCGAGAATTCCAATGCACCTTGCAAAAGCAGGAGATGACCGTGTGAAAACACAAGATAAGGCCCCGAAGGAAGCAGACAAACTGAAGGAGAAAGAAGACCAGATGACTGTGGGGTTGTCCTTAGGGTTTAGGGTTTAGGGTTTAATTAGGGCCAGGTCTACAATGCCTGTTACCCGGATCAGATTTTTGAATTTACAACACCGGAGCTGCGCAGAAGAAGGAACGAAAGGACTTCAGACACAACTTGCTGGCTTTTTCTTCTTCTCCTGCCTGTTCCTTCTGTTGGCAGTCTCCCGATCTCCTGTGCTGACTCTTTGATTCGTCTTGCTTTCTCTTGTTCCTGCACTTTGCCTTCAGAAGTGTTTTGGCCTTTGCTCGCTTCAGCACTTCGGCTGCCCGGTCTTGGTAGCTGCTGCTGCCTGGCACAGGGTTTAGGGTTTGCATATGTAGAGGACATCATAGACACTAAGCCCCAAAACCCTAAGCCTATGCCTTCATCCTTTTTCTAGTTCCTCCTAACCCCAAGTCCATAAGCTCGAACTGACTTGCCAGAACTCTACAAAGAAGAGAGCTCTCCAACCGCCGAGCCCCACTAGAGACCCTAAGCCCCAAAACCGTAAACCCTATAATAGCCCTAACCCTAAACCCTAAACCCTAAACCCTGAACCCTAAACACCCCCCCCTCCCCTTGCAGGGAAAGGGAGGCATGGAATCGGCTGCACGACAGCAGCTCTCCAGCTGCAATTGGCTCGGGGCTACCAAAGGTTGAGGGGCTCGCAGGGTTTTCGATTTTTGTTTCACGGTTTGCAGGGGTTGGAAGAAACCCTGAAACCTAAACCCGAAACCCTAAACCCTAAGCCCTAAACCCTAAACCCTTACAGGGCTTAGGAGTTTCGGATTGGGAGTCTGTGGTTCGGGCTCTCTGGAGCGGACTTTGTATGTTGGGGTTTGGGGTTTGGGGTTTAGGGTTAGGGTTTAGGGTTTAGGGTTTAGGGTTTAGGGTTTAGGGTTTAGGGTTTAGGGTTTAGGGTTGAGGGTTTAGGGTTTAGGGTTCAGGGTTCAGGGTTCGGTCCTAAAAAACCTACCCAGTTTAAGTAGGAGCACCTCCCGGTCCCTGGGCACCTTGAGCTCTTATCAACCGCAACCCGAATTTAGAGCTTGTGCAGTTTAGGGTTCAGAGGGTTTAGGGTTTAGGGTTTAGGGTTTAGGGTTTAGGGTGACAAGTAGTGTCGGGTTTCCGGGTTTAGGCTATGGGGTGTTTCCAATATGTTGGGTGATGCGCCTCCCACCAGGCCCATCGACCTTGGCCGCGACGGCAGCGTTGAGAAAATCGCCGCTGCCGCCAGGGTAGCTGGCCTGCTTATATCATTGGGTCAAGTACGAACACTAAACCTTAAGCCCTTAACCTTAAACCCTAAGCCCTAACCCTAAACCCTACACCCGAAAGCTTGAACCCAACCAACCCCCCTTCCC